GCCAGGCATTTGCTAGTAACAGTATAAATAACAAACTCTTGGTTCGTTTTAAAACTGCATTGAAGCATAGTACATTGTACATTAAACAGACATTTAAAATTGAATTTTACACTTGTAATGTAGCAACATGGTCGAGCCAGGCGAGGCGGCATGCAGGCATGCTTGCATCCCAAGCTAGCTCGTCGTCGGGGTGGGTCATTTCCGCCTGCCTGCCTCGTCGTATTCGATCTTCCTTTGGTGTAGACTCTTCCTAATAATGCTCCTATCTTCTTCGCTTTTTTCCTGTTCTTTATCATGCTTTTCACTGGTAATTGTGTTTCTACTAAGGACCCTGACTACTTGTTTTCCGGGTTCTCCTCCATCTGGCGTGAGTCCCCGGATATCTCGGCCAGTTTTAAGTTTCCCTGCACTGGTTTAAACACACAATAAGACGTATCACCTCCACAAGAAAAACAAATCATATTATGAAAGGACGAATTACACTTACTATCTTTTTGGGCTTCGGTGGGATTTTTGGAAAAATGGTCAACGGGCATACCACAGGTAAAACATAACATGAGGTGGAAAGGGGACGGACAAAATGAACCTACGGAGGACGAAGACACATTAGGACGACTAGACGGGGACACATTAGGTTGAACACTCACATACTGCTGTGGCTTTTTACGTTGCATTCTACCTATTTCTTCTACTCTCCTATCTTCTGTCTTCTCTAAACATGGAGGCTCCGTAAAATCTATCTCATTAACCTGTTTTGGTCTATTCCTGTTATCGTGCATCACCTTTTCAGCCCTCTTACACTCTCTTTTGAGATCCGCTAGCGTCTCCATTTTTGAGGCGAAAGTTAGATTCGCGAGGTACGGCTTAATCCCCTAATAATGCCTACCAACTCCTTCTCTGGTATTTTTTTTTCTAAGGCGGAATGTCAGACTGTGAACATCTCCGTAGAAATCCTCGAAAGACTCCTGAACCTGTTGCTTCCTTTCCATGATTTCCCTAATTATCTCATAGTCTGATTCAGCTGTCTTGAAGTGGTTTA